ACTACCTGAGGGTTGTGCGTCTTTCAGCAATAATGTTTCCTGCCACAAAGCAAAAAGGGTTCACGAATAGTTTGAGGAGCACAAGAAGTTTGAGTTGTTGACTTGGCCTCCAGATTCTGCAGATCTCAATACAAATGAGCATCTGTGGGATGTGCAGGGATGGAGGCCTCTGCTCGCAACTTTTTTTTAAAGCATGTGTTGCTAACATCTCGGTGCCAGATACCACAGCACACCATTTGGGATCTAGTGGAGTCCATGCAGCACAAAAGAGACCATTACAATATTAGACAGGTGGTCATCCTGTTATTTCTAATAGGTGTATAGCTTTTACGATTCAAACAAATCAAAACACAAATTACTGATATGGTGAAAATCCCAACTATGACTTGACCTTGAGGTTATCGGACATCTTAGTAGCTGCACCTATGTTATCAATTTGAAAATTCTCGGTGACTTCCTTCTTGAGTTATAACATTCACAAGATTTTCAGAAGATTTCAGCGTGACGACTGCACCTTGTCAGCCTCTTAAAGTTGAGGGGTAAAAAGGCAGCATACATAGCACCCAGCAGCTACAGGACAGTGTGTCCTATAGTTATGATTTGCACAAAATATTAGCAACAACCTTGACTGTTTTATCAGACGCTAGTTTAGATCAGACAAATGTCATGTTGCTCATTGTCACGTTTTGTAAAAAGCATATCCCATCCTCCTCTCCTGTACATTCACATACTGCCTATTCTAAGTAGGGTTGGGCATATGTAAAAATTTTCCAGTCGGCAATCATCAGTCCAACAATCGTCAATAGGCGATATATTCGCGCATGCGCAGACTTTTTGATGGGCGGGGCAACGTAATCGTACATGGACTGATTTGCGCGTTTACAAAACAGAAGAAGTCCAAACATGGACGAACTAGTTTCCAAAAACAAAAAACAAAACGCTGTCAGCATTAACGCGGCTTAAGCGCGGTCATCACGATACCAACAGTATGTTACATGCAGCACACGTCAGGGGAAGACTCGAGATAAATGCTATGGCTCTGTACCAGATGCATTTATAGCCCTCCCCCCTCTCAGACCACCACACCATCCTGCTGGCCCCTGCTTACACCCCAGTCATCAAGAGGATTAAAAAGGTCACCAAAAACATCAAGCAGTGGACAGAGGAAAGTATCCTCACCCTACAAGGATGTTTCGAAGCCACTGACTGGGACAGCCTTCTTTCTACCTCTGATCGGCGAACAAGTCAACACGGTGACATCATACATCTCCTTCTGTGTTGACAACATTATCCCCTCAAAAACAGTCTCCGTCTACCCCAACAACAAACCCTGCATCACCAAGGAACTCAAGGAAATCCTTAAAAAAGGAGGATTTTCTTCTGGATAAAAAGGAGGTCAACAGGGAGGTCAACAGGGAGGTCAACAGGGAGGTCAACAGGGCCATAAAAACGGCTAAACTGGAGTATAAAAACACAGTTGAAAAGAAATTCACCACAGGGGACCTCCACTCAGCCTGGCAGGGCCTCAAAACCATGGCCTCTGTGAATACTGTGGTCACCACCCCTAGAACCATCCAGGTGGAGGGCAGCAACCCCTCCTCCCTCCCTGATGACCTCAACGCTTTCTACACCATGTTTGAGACGGACAACATCCTCCAGCTTGAGGAGTCCAGATCCTCACTCAAACCTGGCAGCTCTGCACTCAGCTTCAGGACTGAGGACGTGGTGAGAGCCCTCAGGAGGACCAGGGAGAGGAGCTCACCCGGCGCTGACAACATCAGCAGTCAAGCTCTGAGGCACTGTGCAGGGCACCTAGGAAGTGTGTTCTGGACTCCATGGACCCAAAAGAAACAACCCAAAGTCTCTGAATGATCTTCGTCCTGTGGCCCTCACCTTCCTGGTGATGAAGGCCATGGAGAACATCATAAAACAGCACATCGTAAGAGCAACTGATCCCCTGATGGACCCTCCAGTTTGCTTACCGTGCATGCAGAGGCGTCGATGATGCAAAACTCTTCATCTTGGACTGCATCCACAAACATCTGGAGCTCCCTGACTCTTCCAGACTTCTGTTTGCTGATTTCTCAGCAGCGTTTCCACACTCTGCAGCCTCATATCCTGGCCACTAAACTTTCCATCCGATTTAAAGTTAAAGATAAATAAAGTCTTTCTGATTCTGATTACAATTTTTAACGCTTTCAACCCATCTGGAGCGCAGAAGGAACAAAATTTGGACAATCTGAGGAAATGCGTTGGCAGAGACATTTCAGGGATTTTGACTCAGTCTGTGCTCTAGATGGGTTAATTGTTAATCGCGTTAGTCATGATGACGGCACGTTAACGCTGACAGCACTAAAAAAATATAAAGTCGGGAATTTGGGATTTCTTTGGCTTTAAACCAGATGAAAGAGGTAAACCTAAGGATGTGACCAAAGCAGTGTGCCGCTTGTGCAGACTATAGTGCGAGCAAAGTACTCAAACATGCCTAACTTGCAAGAGCATGTACGTGTCAACCATCCGGCTGAGTATGCTAGGCTATCAGCAGCTTCTGCAGCTCCATCAACAAGCATTTGGGCGCTCTCTGAGGAGGGGGCATTTGCTCGCAGATGAAAGAGGGTGCTGTTAAAACAGCGCTACTATTATTATTTTTCTGTTGACCGCTTCTATTAGCGCCATCATTATTAGCAAACTTACTTTATGGCCAAATAAATAAATAAATCGCCCTTGTAAAAACTACCGACGATAGGCTGAGCTAGTCCATATATTCGTCCAATCGCCCAACCCTAGTTCTAAGACTTAAAACAGCATTTATTTTCCTGCCACGCTGTAACCTGTCCATCATCACCACAGTTTTGAAATCTGGACCCCTCTTCCTTTGGGGTCTTCCCTCCAAACTGTCAAAAGTCAGTTAATTCTAGCCAGTAGAATGAAGCTTTGTGCACAGAGGTAGCAGCATCATGCACTCACAAAGCAGACACTCTCGTGTGCATGATGGCCTTTTTGGGCATAGCTGCTGAGTTCCACATGCGTGGTTTCAGAGCATTCTCATTCCCAACACGCAACATGCCAACGATTTGCCACGTCCCGAGGCGTCTCATAGTAACACAAAAGGTAACCTTCCGCGTCCCTATGATACGTTCCGGATTTTGGATGATGCTCCCGGTGGTAACAGCTGTGTTTTCCAGCCCTAACCTTAACCACAACCGTAACTGTATCAGATAGTGCTTTCCAAAGCGAACCATGATGAGAAAGTAAAATAAGTTTACAACAGTTAACAGTAACATACTGACGATTTATCACATAGTGTCGGTATGTTATGTTTTGGGATGAGAACGTGTCTGTGGTTTAGTTAGTCTCACAAGTGTTTTATTGTTTAACCTGCTCAGAGAAGCGCTGCTTGGTCTGGATCTGATAGTGCTCCTCTGTTGTCACACGGGTGATATTGGCTGTGGCTGCCTGAGGTAACGTCTCCACCTCTTGGATGGCTTCCATAGAAACACTTTGCGGAAGTACCCGGAAGAGTGACGTCACATACATGATGATACTCTTCTTGTCGGGGTGAGCCACTGCCACATCTGAAAAAGAGTGAGGAGAGTGAAGTTTATCCTAAATTTCACGAGCCACTTGTGATAAATGTCACCTAACATGACAATAGAGCAAATGTTTCTGGAAAAAAAAGTTCTTCAAGACCTAAAGTTGTCTGACGAGTGTGATATGTCAAAACTATAGATAGAAAATAAACTATATTCACGTGTGTTAAAATATGACTGTATTAGATAACCTGGTATCAAAACTACAGATCAAAAGAAAGACCCTTCAGTGAGCTCACCAACTACCTGTCCACTGTTCTGACACTCCTGTCACCGTAATGTTTTCATTAGCGATAAACATTGGTGTCCCGCTTTTTGGTGATCCCTTATATTAGGACTGTTAGAACAGCTGAGACACATACTTTAAAAACATTGTGTCTGTGTGGCATTCAAACCCTCACACATGCTGTGATTCAGAAATAGCTGTCCCATGAAGCAGCTTTAAGGTGAACTGTAAGCTTACATTTGAGTCACTGGAAATAGAGAACTGTTAAGAGAAATGCTTGTCAAAAAAATTGCAAACTGCCAACAAAATATTTTTGTTCAATTCAGATTAAAGCTAAGAACCAGCTGTTTAAATCATATTCACTATGTAGTATAACAGCAAGTTAAATAAGCAATAGGTGACTCCACTCAGAAAGTCTTCATCCAAAAACGTCACTTTTTGTCATTCTAAGGAGCTTGGAAAGAAAAGCGTCTGGACTTCTTTAAGTATCCTTGAAGACGTTTCACCTCTCATCTGAGAAGCTTCTTGGTGGAGAATCCCACATTTAAGCCCCATGGGAGTGTCCCCCAAGCGGGCCATGGACCCCCTATTGATCCTCTACCTAATCACACGAGCCAAGGTGTGAAAATGGGTGTGGGTCACAATCAGCCAGGGTTTCAGGTGAGCTCATTGTGAAACCTGGCTCCACCCTATCATGTGATTTCCTGAGGTCAGATGGCCCAGGATGTGAGTGGGCGTTAAGGCATCTGGGAAGGATCTCAAAACTGGATTATAGATGGCAGACAGTTGGTGTGGTAAGCCCCGCCCTCTGTTCAAAGATGGTCATTCACAGTGGACATAGATGCTTCTTTCACTCCTCTTTCAAACCAGATGCTTTTCTTTCCAAGCTCTTCAGACTACGATGACCTGGATGACTGAGGTCATAAGTGATGTTTAAGTGATGTTTAGCTCAAAGGCTAAACAGCCGTCGACATGTCACAAAGCTAAATCCAGTAACCCAGGCTATGTCCACACTAATGCGTTTTCATTTGAAAACAAAAACACAGACTTTCGGCCATTTTTAAATCTATCTGGGCTAGTGTGTGGATGCAGCCCCAGGTTCAACTACTACCCAGGGGCCATTGCTACATCTTTTCATTCTCTCTTCTTGCTTTCGTGTCTCATTTTCACTGCACTAGCTAATAAAGATGCCCCCCGCCCCCCAAAAATTAACAACAAAAAACAAACAAATAAACAAAATAAATAATTAAAAGAGAGCAATTGCTGTGGGGCAAATGAGTGAACCCCATATCAGATAAAAAGATGGCACAGTAGTAGGAGAGGAGCAAGAAAAAAGAAAGACGGGTGAAGATGGAGTGCTAATGAACTGATTGCTGTGGTGATGTTAATACAATGATGTGTGGAGCGCAGTTAGCTCACAGCTAAGAATAATGAACAGGACCAAGAGGAAATAGTCTGTGCGGCAAGCTTGCCAGGAATGATGTGTATCATTGCAATTTGTGAGAGAAATAAAGTTAGAGTATGAGTCATACATTTGGCTGTGGAATACTGATTTATCACAGAGAAATCTTATGGTGTTATTGTTTCTCTGTAAATAATACCACCATCTGTGTGTATACATCCCTCAGTGGTTTAGTCCATTCTGTGATCTCCACTTTAATCATGTTACCACGGCTCTGCTACATATGTATGCATTTTTATAAGGAATTGTGGGAGTTTGTGTGTGTATACTGTACTTTTCAGGTGTGTATAAGCATATCGTATGTGTGTCTCTATGCCTTGAGATAATTAAATCTGTCTCCGTAAACTCGTATTATGAAACTGTCATTAGTGTGTATTTAAACAACTCTTCAATTTATTCCTGAAAAAATATTTGATGAAATCTTTTCAGAGACTAATATTTAATCCTAACAAATCCTTTCATTTAGTCGGGACTTTGCTGAGTCCTGAATTAAATGTTCAGAAAAAATCTGAAAACAGTCTGTGGGAACTACATCTAACCAGTATTCCACAGTTTGCTAGTGTTTTTTGGAGAATATGGCTTCCAAGAGATAAAGTTTCCGACCTGAGCTGCATTGCTGCAGCTGGATGTGTGCTTTAATGGCCGGCTGAAGAAGAGAACAAAGACAACAGTGCAAAACAAATGAAAAGAAAGAGGAATTAGAGAGAAACACTGGTGAGAGAAATACACAAAAGACAAGACAAACAGTGG